GTGTAGGAGAGCCTGCTGAGGAATGTTGCTACAGTGACAAATACTTATACATTTCCTGAGGAGTGGGGGAGCCAGGGCACAAGGGGAACAAAGTGGTCGGCACTAGCCAGTTAAAAGCTGGGTAGAATTTTTGTTAATTCAGTTCACTGCTTCAGCAGTTTCTGCCAGAAGGGTCCCCCTACAGCCAACACCGTGTTTGAAAGCTGCCACCCCTCGCATTCCAAAAACTGTGACAGCTCCTGCTATTCCAGGGTGAGTTCCTGTTTTAGAACAATTGGCCAGACTGGTGCAGATGAGCATAATTTACGTCTCCTACATAATTTGCATTTTGTAATGTATGTAATTTGTTGAATACTTCAGAGTGAACATTGTATATAAATATAAAATACCATAGAATATTTTTTGTTTGGGATGCACTCAGAGTCATCTGTTTCACTGGGATCTCTCCCAGAAAACTGATTTAGCTCAATGATGGTGAATGGGGATGATAGCTTCTTAATAAGAAGAGTATTCAAATAATTTGTATTTAATTGGAATTTCTTAGCTAGAGCCATTTATTTATATTGAAATGGAAGGTTTAAGTTAAAGCAAAGACTCGTATCTCCCACTTAGTCCAAATTGTAAATACTGTCCAAACAGTGTTTATTTTGACTCTTCCCAGGAACCTCTCACTGAGCATATGTTCCCAGTCACCAAAATCTTCTAATGGTTCCCCTTTATTGTTGCAGGAAATTAAAAGCTTTTGTATTGTTTTGAGGAAAGATCATAAGAACACCAGCATAAATCTTGGACATTGTTTCTTTTCATATCCGCCACAACTCTTCTATTTTGTCATTAATACTAACGTTAAGTCCCTCATTTCCTTCTACCATCTCCGTCCCTGTGCTTTGATGTGTTGTCTTTGAATCCAAGAATAGCCTCCCAATCCTATTATGCAAAAGTACCACTTTTTTTGGATAACATTTTAAATGCTCACTTCTGTGTTTACAAATTGACTTCATAATATATATATATATATATTTTTTTTTAAAACAATTGTTTATTTTTATTTTTTTCTCCTTGTTTCCCTCTATCCTGTCTTTGTGTCTGCCATTCATCTGTAAGCCCAAGGGTAAGCACGAACTTTTAATCTTTTATAATATGTTATTCCCCCTACAGTAATGAGCACATTATGGACACTAAAATAATAAATGAGAATTATTAACTCTGTATATAAAGTTCCTTTGTCATTTACAATACATATTGAAAAGTCTGCTTTTGGTTTGCTTTTCGTAGTAGTTTCAGCTTTTATATTGATAGTACTGCAAAATGCTCTGTACCAAATTGCTTTTGTGCATGATAAGGGTCTAATCCAAAGCCCATGAAAATCAGAGAAATGTTTCCATGGATTTCAGTGTGCAAGTCCTGAAGAAACTTTCCTGCCCAAACATATTAGTAGGGATAGTAGTTTCTGCATTAATTTCAGTAGCACTCCTGACAGAAATTATCACAACTCCTGCTTGCACACCCCCAAACCACTCATACTGTTTTATTATTGGTCATATGGTGGCTGGTAGGGCTGTGCGAAGCTTCAGTCCCTGATTCAATTTGGCAGAGATTTGGCCCGATTCAGTGGTTGAATCTCCAAAATGAATTGGGAGACCCTTTAATCTCTCCAAATCGAATCGAAACCCCCCAAATTGATTTGGAAAGATTCAGTGATTTGGACATAGACACAGCTTTAAATGTTTTTTCTACATACCTCAAGGTATCAGGCAGCTTGTCAATGCTGTGATGGTGGGGCTCCCCAGCATGCTCGGCAGCAGACCTGGAAATGGACCAGAAGCACTTCCAGTCCACTTCTGGGTCCACCAGGGAGCACGCATGGGGGCCCTGTGCCCCTCCCAGCTTAGCAACTGCTGCCTCCTGGGTCTGAGGGGTCACTCGGGGTCCCCCAGTGGCCGATCACTGAGCTGAGGGGGGCATGGGAGGCCCCCCTCATGTGCTCCTCCAGTGGGCCAGAAGTACTTCTGGTCCACTTCTGGGTTCACTGCTAAGCATGCGGGGGGGGGCCCCCCCATGCTCCTGTGGGATGCTCCATCTGCCCCAGCATCGCAGCGTTCATGAGCTGCACCTGATAAGTTGAGGTATGTAGAAAAAACATTTAAAACTGTCTATGGCTGAATCGCTGATTCTCTGAATTGGCATCGAATCTTCAGATTTGGATTCGGCCAAATCAAATCAGGGACGGTGATCCGAATCAATTAATCGAATCACTGTCTCCGATTCGGGCCAAATTCGAATCAAATATGGACCATTTTGCACACCCCTAGTGGCTGGTGCAGATGACTTCCTGGTTTTTCCTCATTAAGATTCTGGGGGAAGGAAAGTTATAGAGCCTAATATTGGTGGTGACAAGGGTCTGGGTGCTGCTAGCAAGTCGGTGTTCTTTTTTCTTTTTGGTTTTATTTCCTGTTTGGGGAGGATTTTTTTCCTCTTTTTTTTTTTTTTTTTTTTTTTTGGATTTAAAAAAAAAAATCATGTGTTTAAGTGTAGGTATATGGGAAAGGGGAAGTAAGTTTTATGGACCTCTGTCACATAATTACGTGGGGTGGAGAAGTGGCACTTTTATATAGGAATTCAAATATGTAAACATGCTACCATATTGCACGTGATTTGGGGCACTATTTCTCAGAATCCAGCTTCTGAACATGTTGCTTGCTATTGTGAGAAGCCCACTGAAATCAGTGGTTTTTGCATGTACTCAGCATATCAAAATCTGGGCACTTTTTATCTATCTAAAATAGAACCACATTTGAAAATTTTTTGTTTAATATGCATGCCATGAACAGAAACTACCTATTTCATAAGACCCAGCTATTGGTAATCAACATAAGTTTCATCTTGAGTGTTCTTTTGATTTGTTTCTCCTCTTCGGTAAAATTTGGCTCAGAAGTTTTCTTCTTAAATTCTCTTACCAGGACCGTTACCTGCCTGAGTTAGTTTCTATTAAATAGAATGCAAAGGCAAAGGAGAGTACTTCTATGCATACATCTTCATTCAAAGAAGAGCAGCAATCACAAGTAGAATTTTATGAAGCAGAAAAAAATACTCCAATGTGCACTTTTTCAGGGAAGAACACTGCTAATCGTATAAGACATGTTAGTGAACCCTCTTGTATATCATTAGTTTTGTGTGACTTAGATACATTAAAAAAACAGTCATGTACATAGATGTAGTAGGGATATATACTATGGAAAACGAAATGCAACCAATTGGAATTTAAGGTGTCCTAGCTGAATCTTCATACTAATTTCTGTACTTTTATTCACAGGGAGGAAAAACAGTCAAGAACCAATCACTCATAGCAAATGTTTCAGACAAGTAGTGTTGATACTTTAATTAGAACAGCTGAAGGCTAGCCTAGACTGCTTTGATTTACAGAAAGCAGGAACATTTGTTTAAAGCTAAGGTTAATTGCTAGATAGATAGGTCATGTCCTCTTGCAGTTTACTTCTTGTGATAAGGGAAATGTCAGAATCCTTGACTTTGACTGCAACAGTCTTGGTAGACCTGGTGTTGATTGCTACTGCCAACATGAGAGTGGTGCCGCAGTACTGCAGCTCCAGTTCTTAATCAACGAGGTAAGGATATATTTACATTGTTTAGTGTTGTTGTCTTTTTCCCCCCTCAAAATTCAGTTAAGTAATGCAGTGGACAGTGTGTAACTTTCCAGTGAACCTCTCAGACTAGACCAAATAAATTGGCTAACATAAAGCTATAGGTTTGATTCAGTTGCCTTTATTTGCAATGAAAAGTAAGGCTGTGGACAGAGCTATGTTTAACCTTATGAATAGAGAGGGTTGTTTAATAGTGTTGTTAGTTTGAAGTCAGACAGAAGGCAGGGCAGGGTGTCACCTTAGAAATTAACTGGTTTAGAGGCGTACGCATGCATAGCATCTGACGAAGTAGGATGTCACTTATGAAAACTTACGCCTATCTGGAACAGTCTCAAAAGGTACCACCTTGCCCTGCCTTCTGTTTAATCTTATGAGACTCACCATGGAGTTATTCCTCAGTGTGAGTAAAATATGCCAGAAATAGGCTCTTTATACAGTCATATGGCACTGAACAGAAGGCAAGCAGTGTGTATATACATATGTGTATATATGTGTGTGTATTTAGATTTACTGCCTCACTGCATAGACATCTATCAAATAGAAATTACTGTTGACAGGTGAACTAATAAAAATGGCACTAACAGAAGAAGTTCTGCTTGGCAGAAATTTATCATTGGAGAACACTCCAAGATAATCTGCCCTGATTTCTGCTTTTATTAAGGAAAGTGCTTTGGTATACATGCCGTAATAAAACTTGCCATAGAAGTAATTTTGGACTTGTAGTCCCTCTATCCTTTCCTCCTCATCTGCTCTTACCTCTGTCCTTTTGCTGCATCTCTTCTCCACCCCACTGATTCCTAATACATTTTCATTGAAGTCCAACAGCTTCCTATTTTCCCCCATGGTTCTGGGGAGCATTTGTAGCACAAGAGAGACCATCTCCCTTCTCCCAGTTGGTGTTGCAGCGGACAGGAGCAATAATGGTTATAGTATTACTCTGCAGTCCCAGGGCAGTACATACTTAGTCAGCTGGTATGGATGGGACATGCATAGTTCAACCAGGCCATAGGTTGGAATCTGCTTACTGCAGATGGATTCTTCTGAAAATGCTGAACTTTAATAGGTCGCCATTGAACATGTGCAGGCTGTTTCCAAAGGCTCTGAATTTGGCCAAATGTAGGCAGATTTTCCTGGGGAAGGCAAAAGACACATCCATGACATGAAATTTGGCAAGAAGTTTGCTTTTAAGTCCAGTCTGGAAAACATGGCGGTACTAGCAGTGGTGATGCCTAGGGGATGCACAGGGGTGCATGTGCACCCCCTGAGAGCGCTGGTGCACCCCGTGACTAGCTGCACTCACCACTCAGGCAACAGGTGGGGGGGGGCAGGTGGGAGTGCCAGTGCCCCCCCTGCGAGCGCCAGCCAGGGAGTGGGAGTGCCATGGTGCTCCCAGAAGCGGTTGCAGCCATTTCATGATCAGCAGCAAGGGGGACTCTCCCAGGGGGCCCACCCCCTGTTCACTGACTGGTTGCTGGGGGGGGGGGGGCACATGCCCCACCTGACTAAGGTGGCACCAGTCACCCATGAGTGGTAGAAAAAGAAAATGGTTGCATGAGTTTTCTAATACAGGCAGACCCATATATGTTCCCTAAACCTTTTGCGGAGTGAAGGCTGAATTGCTTTACAATAAACACTACTAACAAACTCAGCCCAAGACAAACACTCAACAGCTAACATTTGGCAAAATATACAGGATCTTGTAATAGAAAGCATCAAGCAACCTTAATGTATAGGTATCACAGCTTATTAACAGATTGATCTTTAGGGACAATAGGTTAATGTAGCTATTTAAAAGTGAGATTATACATGAGGCTTGAAGGCGTCAGATTCTTAGGCAGGTGAAGGAAAGTTATGCTCAGACTTTCCTACTTATGCTGAAGTTGGGACAATTACTTTTGCTTTATATGTGTAAATACATATAAAGAAGTATGTCACCTTACAAATGTGATTTCCACCTCCCCCACCCCCATTTTCTTTCTGCTCTTTGTTTTTAATTCTCCATTTCCCAGGTCATCACCTACCTTCTAGTCCCTCCAGATTGCTTTTAAAAGCTCCTTTTCTTTCCGCCAGTGCCTGTCTTCAGTGTTTCCCTTAAGCACCTCTTTGTAGTTTTCTCTCTTGTTTTTGTACTATTTCTAAATGTTTATCTGTTTTCATGGGTTTGGCTACCACATCTAAGTTTATTAATTAATCTCTCATCTTCTATCCAGTCCCATGTCTCTAACTGCTTTTCTGGCATGACTTCTTGGATATTCAAACATCTCTCACTCTCTTGCCTTTTCTTCTAATCCTCCATTGCTTCCATTCTCCACTGCATTTGGAAACTTAATTTTCCTTCCTATTTCCCAGGCCCATAATCTTTGATTCTACTCTCTCCCTTTTCCTTTTTCCTTACAGCCAGCTTTTCCCTAGCCTAAGGCATTTCTTCTTCCTGTTTTTTAAAACAGAAGGTGGATTGTTGTCCGTCCTGAAATGGGAACACTACCACTCCAAACAGAACAGAGCCTAGCAATAGGAACAAGAGGTAGAAATCCTGCCAGCTCTCCAGCCAACCAAGACTGTGAACATGGGGAAAAGCTGGCTTCTCCAGTCTGCACATCTCCTGCCAATGAGGGCTACAGGGATGCGCCAGACTCCATAGCATGCTGTTTTTCTGTGGATGGGGAGAGTCCGCACCTCCAGCTGCTTCTTTGTTTCTTTGCTCTCAGTTCCTCTGGCTGAATGTCCCTGCTTTCTTACCTTCACCTCTCTTTTTTTCTCATTTCTGATTTTGGATTTTCTGTACCTATTTCCTTTTGCTGGTATGGTAAGCACACTCTTCTTTCAGTTGCTTTCCTCAAACCCAGCTTTGCAAGCAAATCCATCCTTTCTTCTTCCCCCACTTTCTGGTTTAACAGGCAGAAATATATTCAGTTTCATATGTCAATCGTGGAATACCCCATTTTATTTTCCAGGCCACCTCAAATCTAAACAATTTTAACTAAGTGCAAGATCAGCCAAAGTTAAGTATTGCTTATTGCAGAATATCTTTTTCAGAAGGAATGCAGTTATTTCACAGATGCTGTACAGCTTCCTATTTGCAGATAATTGAAAGGGAAAAATCTGCATATGAATAACATATTGTACCATATTCTGTCTCTGATTGCTGCAGGGTGCCTTGGTCAGTGCAAGTGCAGATGACACACTCCATTTGTGGAACTTAAGACAGAAGCGGCCAGCTATTCTTCATTCTCTGAAATTTAACCGAGAACGGTAAGGGAGCCTGAAAAAACAAGAAAGGTGTTGTTATAAAAGCGTACAAGTTAAATTTGACTGAATTATCTGTGTTATGGTTTTGTTTTGTTTGAGTGATGCAGCTGTCTGTCTTAAAGATTTTTCTTTCATTATGATTCTTAAAATCCAATTTATACAGAGCATGTATCAACTCAGGGTCCGGATTTGGGGTGTAGTAACCCATTTCTGCTTTTTGCTAGAAATGTGTTTGTCCATGGTTTTCTGCTTAAACAAACTGGTACGATTAGTAGATTTTAAGGCCAGAAAAGAATGCTATATGATAGGCCGTGCCCCGAAACGAGGGGCATGTGTGCACAACACTTTAAAGCAGGTTAAATGCTTTTGCACTGCTTTAATGGTGTTGGTGTTTTCATGCGTTGGCAGGTATTTTGCCTTAATTTCAGCTGCTGTAGCAAATTCAGTGGCGTAATACACCTTAAATGACTTGGTGCACAGCAAACTCCTCCTCTGAGTTTTAGTCTGCTGCCATACAGCCGCGGAGCAAAGCACTGGGCTCTGTGTGGCTCAGGGACTGTGCAGGAAGCCCATGCAGGCAGCCTGGCAGCAGCCCAGAAAGACAGGTTCTACCCAAGCAAAAAAAAAGCAGCGAGCCTGATCTTTTTTTTTCCCACCCCCTGGAGCCTGCCTGAGCTGCATGGTGGCCTGGAAAAAAAAGTGGGGAGCCTGATCTTTTTTTTTCCCCCCCCCTGGCGCCTGCCTGAGCTGCCTGGTGGCCAGATGATTTCCTCTGCAGCTGTGGTGCCCCCCAGGACCACCCGAGCTGCGTGCCTGCGGGCGGGTGCCACTTCAGGGGAGTCCCTCCGCTGCCACAGAAGGACGCGCTAGCCCCCCTGCCCTGCAGCCCAGGAACTGCTCTGTGCACTTGCAGCTCACCTTCCCCTCCTGGCCACCGGAGAGGCAGAGAAGTATATGGGTGTATATGACATGGGGGTTTACTTGGCCCTAAATTGAAGTTGTGTTTTTAAAAACCCACCGCTTCAACTTAGGGCCCTTGTTTCATCTACACACACCCATTATTCTAGTCTGTTCTGCTGTATAACACTGGCCATTGGCACTCTATCCAGTAACTCTTACAGGAAGGAAAGTATTTGTTTCTACACGGTAAGGATGTGGAAACAAGATTTTTTTTTTTCTTGGCCAATTTGGCATGTATTATAATTTATTGAGAACACTGGAATGTTACCAGTATGGTGCAGAGTCAGAATTTAAGATACCACATTTTCTTGTATATAGTATATACTCTTGCTCCCCAAATCCTCAAAATTGGCATGCATGTCTTGAGTGGGGAAGCTGATTTTCGATTTGGGGTAGAAATGCCCTGCTTTGGTTCCTGCTCCATAGTACAGCAGTTGTAAAATTACTATTTAGGCAGCTGAGGGAATCAGTTGACTTACTGGCCTATTGTTCTTCACTCCATGGGTGTTAATGATCAACTTTTCTTTATAATGGTCTTTGTTTCACTAATCAAACCAAACTTTCTTAGGGCAATTCTGCTGTCTACTAGCTGCTCCTGGCCTTTCTTCTCATATTTCATAGCCCTGGAAATTCTTCAGCTCTTTTCAGAATCACAGGTCCCACAGAGACCCGTTCTCAGCAGCAGCTAGGGTTTCAGCTTTAATTAAGCAGGAAAGGGAGGGCGAGTCAGCTGAATATTATGGCTGTATAGAGCAGGGATAGAACTTAAGTTTGGAAAAATCTTTTTCTCTTTGTTTTACCTTTCAAAACCAGGGTGGGTATTATATTCAGGTATGTTGTATACAAGGAAATATGTAATTATGATGAATAGGTCTCAGATGATTCAGAATTTGGCTTATTTTAGTAATTAGTTTTACTTTCCAGGCATTTAATAGTTTAAATCACTGGTTGGATATGATTACTTAAAAGTTACATGTCCATATTTAAAAACCTAAATTAAGATGGATATATCTTTTGACAGGCTAAGAACTTGGCTCACACTGACATCAGTAAGAATTGCAGGTAGAAAGAAAGAATGGCCTTTTTAATTATGGAATAGGTCTGGCACTTAAAAGAACTGGTTTCAGTTCCCACCTCTGCCACAGACTCCCCATGTTAGCTTGAACAAGTCAGTTACTTTCTGTGCTTCAGTGTAAAATAGCAGACAGAGGAAGTGTGTTTTATTTCTTAGATCAGGGGATGGCACCCTATGGTCTACAGGCTGTATCTGGCCCAGGGACATGGCGTTTCAGCAGCATTCGGCAGTACATGGCTTCATCTGTGGCCACTCTCCCCATGCTGTTGCAGAGACAAGTAGCAGCAACAGCCCAGTGCTGGAATTTACTCGCCTACCTGCCTCTGACCTGGGGTGGGTCATTCCAGCCCACAGCTATAAAAAAAAACTCCAAAAAAAAAAAAAAAAAAAAAAAAAAAAGGTTTCCTATTTCCCATCTTAGACTGTGAGCTGCTTGCTTCAAAAATTGTGTTATAGTGTATTTATAAAATGCCTGGAACAGTTTTGTTTTGGTAGAAATTATGTACTCAGTTTCTGAAGTTCAGGTAACTTTTGAATGCCTAAATGTATGGATTTATGTGCATACCTTTGGGCAGCCAAATGAGAATCTTGTGCAGTATTCCTGCATATAATGTTTGTGTTCCCTAGTATAATACATTTTGAAGAAGCAAACTGAGATTTCCCAAGATTTTGCTTGGGAATAGTTTTTCATGAGCTGTATTATTATTGTTGCTTAATATTTATACTGTGGTTGCGTGCACTTTGGAAGCCCTGTTGTGCTAGGCACTACAAACATAAAAATGTCAGTCCATCCCCCAAGCCACTAAATCTAAAAGATGAGATGCAAAAAGTGGCTTCTAGATGTGAAAAACAGGGTAGCAAAAAGTATGTGGACAATTCTTATCCTGTCACAGACAGTACTTTTTCATCATAATAATACAAACACTAAATGACAACATACTTTTGAAATCTATATAATTATCCTGATTTTTATCATTGGTGTTGTTGCAGTACTTCCTGGTCTGGTTTTTTTTGTTTTGTTTTGTTTTGTGTTTTTGTTTTGTTTTGTTTTGTTTTAATAGTACTAGGTCAGAAAAGTTTCCCCTGCAACATTCTGATTATTTCTGGCTGTGGCTTAATTGAAATGGACCTGCTAGTCAGGAAGTTTAATACAATTTCAGGACCTTAGATGTTCAGTTATAGAAAATGGTTGATGTTTATTTATTTATTTTTTAATCCAAATCAGCTCACTCATCTTGCCATTAAGTATTTACACAGTATGAGTTCTAAAACGCTTAGTCATGTGAAAGAGCCCTTCCTCATGAAAACTGTTCCATGGTGGACAAAGGAAATACTTGCATAACTAATTACTAATCCACAGTAATAAGATTTGCAGAGTTAGTCTCATAAGTTATTCATGCTGAAAAATGTACTGTACTCCATTGATGCTATAGTTTGCAGTAACTGAAAAGTATTATCATAAACACCTTGGGCCAGATCTGAAGGAACCCAGTACCTAATTTTTAGGTGCCTGCCCCTTGTAAGTAGAATCCAAAGCTCTCTAGTCCCTATACTGTGTATGTGGAAAGCTACATGCATGAGCAGGACAGATTTAAGATTCTCATGTCAGTCTGGGTGGGGAAGTGCCTCAAGTTAATCAATGGGAAATGCTAAGGCTATGGGTGTTTTGAGATTCATTGAGCGCGTCTACATGAGACGCTACATCACTGAAGAGACAAGCTACAGCGATATAGCATCAGTAGGCACTAACCGTGATGACGCTGCTACTGTGCAGTAGTTTCAGTAATGACCCGTGCGCTGCCAGGACTGTGCAGTACCAGCGGGTACCATCCAGTCATTTAGTACTTGCTAAAGTACTAGACTGGGGTCCTGGGTTCCAGGTCCTGCTCTAACTATTTTTTTATTTTTTATTTGCTAACTGACTAATGTAAAATCCTGGAACCAGTGCCTGGAGCTACCACTACTGCTGCTATTGTCTTTCTTGTGTGCCAAGTGGCTGTAGCTACTACTATGCTTTTTGCTGAACTCAGTGCTATGGGTGTGCTGTTGATGTGCAGCAGGAGGACTGGACCCTCCAGGGAACTGAAGCAGTACTTTACCTAGTATCTGAATCCCAGTGGGGTTTAAGCTGGACATAGGCACCAGCTGCTCAGGCTGGGTGGTTATACACA